TTTTTTAAACAAAAAAAAATCCAAACCTTTAAAAAAACATTTTTCTGGAAAAAAAAAAAAAAAAAAAAAAAATCTTTAAAAGTTCTTTGCTAGATTGATCAAATTTATTTGAAGAACGGCTCACACATTGTATGAACTCTGCTCCGGACACATCTGACACTGACATGCCTTTTACTCACACTTGGTCTTCTGCTTTTACTTTAAATAGATATTTACATTGCTACATTACTCTAGAGTTTTTTTAAAGGGTTTGTTTGCTCTAGAGGCCTTTATTTGACAGTTGACAGGAAAGTGTGTTGTATGTGAGAGAGCAAAGGTCATCGAGCCAGAGCTCGAACATGTGACAGCCGCATCGAGGACTAAGGCCTCCGTACATGGATTGCATTTTAATATTAAACCAAACCTGACAGTAACCTGACTCGCCCATGCCCACCATTGTGATCTATTCCTTCTTTTTTAGATTTACAAAAATGATGATGTTGCTGCGATGTTCAGGCAGCAGAAGAGGACGCAGCAGCGCACACATGTCCTCCCTGGAACTGCAGACGAAGACCAAGTAATCTACGAAAACAACCCGACTGAGCAGATCTACCTCAACCATTTCATTTAAACCAAGGGAGATGAAGGGTTGGCAAAGCCAGCTCTTTGTTAAAAGACAAATAATTATTTCCACAGAAAACTAGAAAATGTTGTCTGCGTTAAATCGTCATCTCACTTCTGGTGGGAGTTTGAACTTTAGCTTTAAATGTTTATCTCACTGCATATTTTTGCTTTGCGCTGTATTAATGAAACCTGTTGGACATAAAAGGACAAAAATAAAAGCTAAAGGTTTGTGAATTTTAAATGAAACATTTTTGCTAACAGCAAACAGCAAACAATATGTTTCTCTAGGCTTTGCAAATAGGAACATAAGAAATCAGCTCAGTCAGTTCTGAATGAATTAAAGAAAATAATAAAGGATAGAAAATGCATTTCTTCCAGATGTGTCAATTAGGAACACATCTCTGCATTTCTTACGGTATTAACTTGTTACTGAGCAAAGAAAACACCACTGACTGTCACACTTTGTGCAAACACATGGTGCACGGTTTGCAGTTCACCATGTGCCTTAAAATACAAACAGAATTAAGATTTTATGGGGGGAAAGTGATATTGACACCTCAGTGCTTGAAATCATATTTCTTTTTACTCGTTTCATGCATCTTGTAATGAGTCAGTTTTTACATAGCAAAGACATTTAATTATTCAAAAAGTTAAACTTATGTGACTGTATTTACTACAGGCAGCTACAATTCTGTCAAATTGAAGCTGAGTATGTCATGAATTTCAGTGTTTTACAAAAAGAAAACAAAATAAATAAAAAGTCATTTTAAACCATCCAATAATTTGAGTGAAATGTTGAAACCAATCAAAATAAAAAAACTAAGAAATGTCAACATCGTATTGCCATTTCCTGTTTCCCCCTGATTGAAACTTGTTATTGCAGAATAACGTTGGACTCCCAGAACCTGCATATAAACTCAAACTAGTCTTTGACCTGTGCGTCCGCTGAAGGTTTGTGTAGGTGTGGTCTGGAGTAACCAGGGTCCATATCTTTAAAACAAAGACGGGGAGGAACCTGGGATCTTTCCCTCTTCGTTCCACACTACAGCTGAATAATCTCCACTGCTCCATTTAACCTGACTCCAGGCAGCTCTTCATTATGGCCAGCAACTGTCGTAAGTTTTAATTTAGCTTAGCATGGGCTTCACTGCTGTGTTTTATTGAAATATGTGTATAATTTTCTGGATCTATTTTTGGTTTCATTCTCATTTTGGCACTTAGTCGCTGCAGTCAGAGGTGTAAATACATTTTGGTTTTGAAATTCAATACTTATTCAGATTCTGTTTTCCTGATTTTATGTCATTTTTTTGTGACATTATAAAAATAAAATATTTGCATTGTAATTTTTTTTTATTTTTTTCACAAATCACGAAAAGAAACAGCAAAAGCTTTCGGCAGAGATGTAAAGAGTAATTTCACACTTTTGGACAACTTTATCTTGGATTGAATACAGTTCTATCAAATCAAAAGTTTTGGTAACTTTATTTTCCAAAATAATAATAAAAAAATTATTTGAGTAATTTGTTTGGCAAACAACAAATACATCCTGATGAAGAAAGCGGTTTATAGCAGACTTTCTTAGGTTAGTTGCCAGGTCAGTTCTTGAACGTAGAAGTTAATCTAAACATATCCTCACACATTCTCTTCAACAGAGTCCAACATCACAAATAATGAGATGCTGAGGATCATCATGGTGGGAAAGTCTGGAATCGGGAAGAGTGCCGCTGGAAACACCATTCTGGGACGGACATGCTTCCCATCTAAGTTCAGTCCCCGATCTTTGACGACTTTCTGTGCCAAACAAACTGGTGAAGTGGATGGGCGAATGGTTGCCGTCATCGATACTCCAGGTCTGTTTGATACGAGGTTTGACCATGAAAAAACAGCCAAAGATTTGGGTCAGTGTATTTCTTATGCTTCTCCTGGACCCCATATCTTCATGGTTGTCATCGCACTGGGCTGATTTACTGAAGAAGAAAAACAGACAGTGCAAAAGATTCAAGAAGTCTTTGGAGAGGCTGCAGATAAATACAGCATGGTTCTCTTTACTCATGGAGACTTACTTCGTGGCACCAGTATTGAGGAGTTCATAGCAGAGAGCCCAGAGCTGCAGGAACTCGTAGCCAGATGCAACAACCAGTACCACGTCTTCAACAATGAGATGATCGACAAAAAGCTTCAAGTCACCTCACTGCTACTGAAGATCACAAATATCGTGGAGAAAAATGGAGGGAGCCACTACACCAACGAGATGTTCCAGGAAGCTGAGAGGGCGATTGAAGAGGAGAAACAACGCATCCTCAAGGAGAAAGAGGAGGAAATACGCAGAGAAAAAGAAGAAGCGGAGCAAAAAATACGGGAAAAGTATGAAGAAAAGATAAAGAAAATAAAAGAAGCTCAAGCAAAGAAAGAGCAGGAAGAGTTACAGAGGAAATTAAAAGAGCAAAGAGAAAGAAAAAGGGAATTAAAAGAACAACAAATCTTAGCACAGAAACAGCAAGAAGATTTATTGAGGAAATTAGAAGAGCAAAAAGAAAGGGAATTAAGAGAACAAGCAGAAATGCTGAGAGAACAGTTCAAGAGAGAGGCTAGACGGGAAGCTGAGGAGCGTCGTCGTCGTCGTCGCCATCGTAGACAGTGCAAATCTATGTAACTCCTCATTCTGTGTCCTGCCCACATTTCAAAGTATTTGATTAAGTCTTTCTAATTTCTGGTGGCTTTATCCTGGCATTGCTGTATCTCATAACTTGTGTACTCTTAGTTAGTGGGTAATGACAACAACAGCTGATCTTAGTATTTTGCAGGAAATAGTTTAAATTCTTCCACAATTGTTGTTGCTTTTCTTTGTTTTATTCAGCTCAGCTCTACATTGTCATCCCCGTGTTACAAGTTTTTAGTGTTGATGATCACAACCTTTTTGGCCCTGCTGCTAACACAACAATATGTCTGCAGTCTGCAGCTGCTAGCTCTGCAGTATTGATGGGCTTTGGACACTTTATCATCTGGTACAAGCAGTAGACGCTAAATAAATAAAATATCTTTTACAGAAACACTAAAGAGCTGTACACACAGGCCAGGGGACATAAAGTAACAACTACTAGTACAACCATGGTTTAAATAAAACCCGTCCCTTTTAAATTCTAGGGTCTAACATACTGTTTGGTGTGTTCCTAGAGTTTTCACTCAGTTCTCTATCTTGTCTTTATCTTTCTTTAAAACAATATGACATTGTAGAATCAGGGGTAAGTGACGTTGTTCACTTGAGGGTAGACTTAGGGTCTTGTATATAATTTATCTGCTGTATGAACACATCATAACACATCATAATTCATAAAAATTGTACTTTGCTTTTACTTTGGTCGCAAAGGGCAATAAGGAGGCTTTTGAGGTCAGCAACAGAGATGGCTGAGAGATAAAAGACATGCTAAATCAGCAGCTTTGTACATGTTCATTTGATATTTTTACTTCTTAACTTTATGTCCACGTTTAATCACTCATAACTTTTATATTGGAAAGAGACACTTGCAAAGCTCAGAGATGAATGATTTATCAATATTTTCAGATGAAAACAAAGAAGTCTTCCCCTAACAATGTCAACATTCAGCAACACGGCTGTTGCTGAATGTTGACTTTGTAAAAACTACTCCACCGATACTTCAACCCCCAGGTTCTTCCCACAGACCTTTGAATGCATGAAGCCTGGCTGAACTCCAAATCCATCTGCAGTATCATTAAGGCTTATCTGAAGCAAAAAAGACACTGCTACACAGGAATGCACTGAGACTAAAACAGCAATTGACAATGTAATCCTGATATCTGTGTATCTCACAATGTGATATGATGCTTGTAAAAGTTAACGACACAACCTATAAACATTGACTCTTTTATGCTCTTCTACTCTTTGAATGATGTGCATTGTGTCATTTTTATAGGACAACCTGTGATTGGATAGTTGTTTTTTCATTCAAATGAATTTGTCATTTCAAAATTTACTCAGTTTGTCTTTTTTCTAATATGTATTGTAACATCTTTGACAATATCTGAGTCATATTCAATAAACCTGAATATTTGTTCCGGTGAGGCTTTGTGAAGATTTTTGTGATTAAAAGTTCCTATTGAACTTTAACCATGTAGTAAACACATTCTCCATTAAGCCCACATTTCTGTACTGAAAAATTGATTTTACTTTGATCTGATATAATATCCTAATTCAGTAAAAATTAGATGTAAGTGATAAATCATCATAATGAAATGAAGGTCTCAAATCTTCACTGTCTGTGTTTTAAATCTTTATAATATATTTTGTGAATTGAAATACTGAAATAAATAACATTTTCAATAATATTCTAATTTTTGAATGGGTCTGTGTAAGAACTGTTTCCATTTTGGACGATAGTTAGATATTTTAAAGCGCTGTCACTAGTTATTAATCGAGCGCCGATCAATAAATCTGATAAAGAAATTATTGCTACTCTGCAGCAAGTGGCTAAAGGGATGTGAACATTTACATAACTGAGAGGTTTTGAATCATTTAAACAGACATATTTATTTTGCTCCAGGAGGAAAACCAAATAAATCATGCTGATTAACACTAATCAGATCATTAAATAACAAAGTCTTGGACGAGACATAATGTATTTTCAATAAATCACTTTTGATCCTGATTTTCTTTACGAGCAAACCAAAGATTTACTTTTATGACATTTTCAGTAAAGACCAGTGAGAAAGCATTACGTTTAGCAGTAAACATTTTAAAATGACTCGCTTTGTTAAAAAAATAAATAAATTCAACCAGTGCCTTCATGACAAATTATTTGACTCTCTTTTATGATTCTGTGTCGATAAAACACTTGATTACCACTATTTAAACATTGTCAATCCAAATTTAACAAACATTGAAAAGATCTCTAAACCTGTCGGTGTTTTGTTTTATTCAGAAAAGTTGAAGTTGTACTTCTTTATCTCGGCTCATTCACCAGGCTTCTCGTTTGTGCGTGGCAGCAAAGCTGAAGTACGATCTGTTCTTCTATGTTTGGATATGAGTGGAGGGTGTGAGACTCGGCAGCACGGTGCTGAAAACATAAACCAGATTGTTTCCTCAAAACGCTCCTGAGAGCAGATTAACTTTACTTCTGCTTTAGTTGGTCAGTTGCCTTGAGGAATGCGAAGATGTGGAGCCTTCACAACTTGATCCTCACAT